ATATTCCAAGGCCCAAACGGTTTTATAGCATAAATATATGAAGTACACCTGCAGTATGGAAACAGTACAACAAAATGGCTGTTTTACACTTTTTTCTAGTAAATTCCCCTCTAATATATATTCTATTCTCTTTGGTTACACACTATAATTATTAAATATATTTATTAAATATACAATTGTACAATACACACGTTACTTTTCTATACAAGAAATATGCAAGGTTTATTGGATATACCACCCTGGACAAACAAGGGGGGAGATGTACGTTTGGTTTCTTCCATTTACTGCGTTTTGGTCTATATTTCAATATTATTTAAACTTCTGGAGTTGTCTTCGTTTACTTTTTATTCAAAACGCATCCACCGACAAAAGATATTAGTTAAGCTAAATATTTATGACTTATTGGTGAAATTTTTATTATACAGTCAAAGAATACAAATTAAGTGTGTATAGAACATATGATACGTAACTACCATGTATGTGTTGTGTACAGGGTGTGTCGTAAAAATTAATTATGCGATCATTCTGTGCCCTTATGAATTTCTAATGTGACCATGTCTACAGGATGTATAAATATAAAATTACAAAAATACAGTAATTCTTCATTTATGCAGGGTGTTTAAATATTAAAAGTGCATCTATTCAGAACACCGATATTTTTCATGAACATACACACGTACGTACACAATTACACAAATATTCTGCCGAGTACATAAGTTTCAAATCTCTCCTGTTTTAAATCTCATTGTCATTATCGTAGTGTACACTTGATCAACAGTGAGAGTGCTTAGAAAACATATGTTTACAATAACCCCAGACAGAATATAACACCATAGATAGAAACATAGTATAAAACTACAGTAATATTCTTCTTTACCTAAACAAAATTTTTTGAATCATAATTCAAATGTTTTTAATAAATATATTCTAATAGATATTATATGTTTTAGATCACATCCTTTAGCCACCTAAACAGAGTACAGTTTCTCAGCCGAGAAATATGGAATGGGGAATCAGTTGTAGATAGGAGTTAGCTAAGGGAAGACGTGAAGATGGTGGCTGATGAAGGATTTGTTTTAATTGGTGCTGGACTGCCCCGAACCGGTACTATGTCGACAAGAGCTGCTCTGAAAATTATTCTAAAAGGAAATATTTATCACATGGCGGTAGTTGTGGCTGAGCGTCCTGATCATCATTGGTTCTGGAGGAAGGCCATCAAGGGAGAAGCCAACAAATCTGAATGGAGAAAGGTTCTGTCAGATTTCCGGGGTGGAGTAGATTATCCGATATCCTTCTTCTATAAGGAGCTAATGGAGGTTTATCCTAACGCCAAGGTTCTCTTGACTACACGTGATCCTGTGAAGTGGTATGAGAGTGTAAAGAATGCAATCTATAAGCTCCAATGCACAATGCAATCCTGGCCCTGTACCTGGTTTTTGTCCCTTATAGGACGAAGGGATATGTTCCAGCTAGTAGACGATTTGTCAAGTGTAGCTCCGAAATGTTCTTCAAGCAGGTTGGGTATGTTTGGTGCAGTGGCAGCTGGAGAAAAAGCAGCGGTACAGCTGTGGCATGATCATGTAAATGAAGTAAAGAAGATGGTACCAGCTGAGAAGCTACTAATCTGGGAGGTGAAGGAGGGATGGGGTCCACTCTGTAAGTTCCTGGATGTTCCAGTTCCTCAAGAACCGTTCCCAAGGGTGAACGACACTAAAGAAATGGAGCAGAACAGAAAGACAATATTATATGCCTCATGGCTGCTGATTGTATTGATACCAATGGCCCTGGTGTTTACAGCCTGGTATTGTTCACTAAGTAGCCCACAACACATCTTAGTTCTAGCTGGAGCTTACTTTGCCTTTATTCAATTGTTTGTAGTTCTAACTAAATGGAAGTTATCTAAATTTGGTTAGATAACTAATCTGTATTTGTTTGTTGATATTCATATTAAAAGATAAATAAATATCTTCTTCTCAATTATTTTTTAGCATTGGAATTAAATAGATTTTGAATAAGGATACATTCAAACTTTGCACGTGAGTCCTGTTGTTGCATGATCCGAACCAGTACACGGATGTAATCCCAGTGTGTACTGTGCAGTCGTACCAACCCGACTAGTAATCCCAGTGTGTACTGTGCAGTCGTACCAACCCGACTAGTAATCCCGGTGTGTACTGTGCAGTCGTACCAGCTCGTCTAGTGATCCCAGTGTGTACTGTGCACTCGTACCAGCCCGTCTCGTAATCCCAGTGTGTACTGTGCGGTCGTACCAGTCGTCCAGTAATCCCGATGTGTACTGTGCAGTCGATCCAACGCGTTTTTTGCAACAAATTTAGGCTGGCAGGATTTGTCTGTTTACTTTGAACTTCTTTTATGCACTTTTAGGTTTGGCCCCTGTTTTTTGTTAATACTCATTTTACAGCTGGAAAAGAAAAATAGATTTCCACAAAATTCCTGAGGCCCAAAATGATGCCAAATCAGGAATCAAATATTTATTATATGCATAGGATGATGTATTTTCTCGTATTCGATCCTGTCTAGGAAAAGTATGAAAAATACGTAAAATGTAGAATAAACGTTTCACAGTGAGTATCTGGCTCCCAGATACTTCTAATTTACCAAGTTTGAAAATTAGGATACCATGTGTATTGTCCAAATAAGTAATCGTTGACGTAATTTCAAGTGACCCTCCATTTATATAGGATAGCATTTCCGACTTACAACGATACCCTTAAAAGCTTTGCCTGATCATATATGACATGATATCCATTATAGAAAACACTTTTCTAACTAGCTAAAAAACGATATTAGCTTCCTCATTATTAATGCAGGTTACAAGACAGGATACTTTTTTAATGGAGGGTCACTTGAAATTACGCTTACAGTCCCTTTAATCAAGTGAGAACTTCACCCCCTTTTTTTTGACTTAAAACTCTAAAGCGGAAGGAAACAAACCCAGAACTTGTATCCTAGTGTAAGTAAAGTCATTTTATCCTTGATAAAAAGATAAAGAATCCTCTCTTCTTCTTTGTATCCTGTACTGTGAACTATCAAAGAAACCAATTCAGTAAAAATGCCATTTTCTCCGCTTCGCTTGATNGGGGGAGGAGAGAATTTCAATTCAAGATAGTTTTAAAAAGTTCATTTCGTCTTTCTTACCTTATAATACAGAATACAGACTGAGAGAGATATAAAAGTAATGAAAAGGAACTGAGTTCTTGCCACAAAAAATGATTTTCTAATCCCTTTATCTTTTCAAGTTACTTAATACTTATTTGCATAGACTACTGAGTAATGGGACACTCTACCATATAGAAATCTACATGTCTTTATAAAATATCTTGACACAAATACAGACAGAATTCTTTTAAAACGATCTTATCTTAATCTTTTTAGCAAATATATTCTGACTTGCATCATTTCTTAGGTTTATGTTGGTTTCAAGTAAAAAGTATAACAAATGTTTAAGTAAGTGATCAAATGAGTAATTAAGATAGTGAGTGATTAGAATGAATGAGTTAGTAAATGAGTGAGTAATAAAGTAGATAAGTGAATGAGCTTGTGAGGGATTGAGTTAGTGGATAATGTGTGTGTGTGTGAGAGGAGGAGAGTATCGGTATGGGAGTGTTAAACAATTAATATTCACAATAGTGTTCATTTGACTTATAAATAGTTCTACTCAATACCAATATACATATTCAATATATTTATTATAATAACAAGTGACCAGTTTTTCACACTTGACCATGAATGAAAGAAAAATAAGATATTAAACATATAGAATAATCTAAAAAAAAATTAAGGAAAGTTCGATGCACAAAACCTATGATCAAGCAAAAAAGTAAATATTGAAAGACAGGGAAATAAGGGAAAATAAAGGGTAAATAAAGGGTAAATAAAGGGTAAATAAAGGGTAAATAAAGGGAAAGTAAAGGGTAAATAGAGGGAAAATAAAGGGTAAATAAAGGGAAAATAAAGGGTAAATAAAGGGAAAATAAAGTGTAAATAAAGGGAAAATAAAGGGTAAATAAAGGGAAAATAAAGGGTAAATAAAGGGTAAATAAAGGGTAGATAAAGGGAAAATAATGGAAAAAAGGGTAAAAATGATGAAAATCTTAAATCTTAAATTATAAACCAAAAATAAAGAAGAGTAAAAAGGGTTTAAAATAAAAGTAAAACAGGAGTAAAAATACGAAATAAATGAAAATACAGGAAAATTAGGGTTAAAATGAAAGTAAAACAAGAGTAAAATACAGCAAGAGATAAGGAGAGAAATAAAGGCAATCTTTTAAAAAAGAATAAAATTTCGCAAACCGATTGAAAGTAGAAAACAAAACCCCTTTTCTTAATATGAATTTTCTTTGTTTGGTTTGCTCGCCAAACTTTCTTAATAAGGAGTTTTCTTCCTTCAATCCGTTCTCACTTACTTACTTACAGTGGAAGGAGCACACACTGAGACTAACCCCAGCACTTATATTTTCTTACGAATATCTAACTCCCCAAAACAATTCAATAAGAACAAACAATTTGTTCAAGATTTTAAATAGAATGTTAGTATTAAGTAATAATTAATAACTCTGATCTTGCCGGGCTTCATTTGTTGCATAACACGTGCTGGTCGACTCTACACTTGTGGACGGTTATACAATACATATGTTGGACCGGCTCGGAGTGGTGTGATTAGTTAAATGTACTCGGATATACTTTGTGTATTGCTAAAATATAATATATCACAATTAAACTTCTTAATTTTTATTTGTATCTATTATTTATTTGTATTTCTGAGTATAAAAATAGGGTTGAAACACATTGAGTAGGAAATCTAAAATAGGTCATAATTGAACCAGGGGCGTATTCAGGAATTTGTCCAGGGGGGGGCTTATTTTTTATCTTTCCAAGGGGGGGGGGGGTCAGCACCCCTTGGGGCCTGAAAACCCCGTTCACTGGTCCAGGGGGGGGGTCAGCCCCCCCCCTGAATTGAACCACGGATCTATGATTTGCTTATGAGAAAAGCCCTTGGAAAAATGGATTTAACATGCTAATATTTATTTTTAAAAAAAGAAAAAAATTTCTACATTTTTCCAACGCATTTTCTGGAAATTTTTTAAAACCTCCCGAGCAGTATCCCCCTAGTAATTAAACTTTCTAATCTAACGTTTTTAATATTGAGCTGGTCTTTATAAATTGTGTATCGAACCTGCACTGTAATTCACTTAATGGTGGGCATTGTTTATATTTAAAACAATAATTCAAGGTTTATTGATTTGTCAGAGACCGAATTTAATGAATTTGAGTCGCGTCTCAAATCCAACAAAAACCGGTTTCAATTGAGTACCGGCTTAAATCTTGAAACATTGAATATAATTTTTAGTGGAACCAACCATATTTGAGCCGCGTCTCAAATTTAAGTTGCGGCTCAAATTCTTTAAATTCAACCACTTGTTTGTTTATTCTAATTCAAACGATTTTTCTAAAAGATAGGTAAAAATCGTTTGAAAAATCGTAGTAAAAGCAAGGTGCAAACGTATAGAAAATCAGAACGGACCTCAAAACGATTCCCATACCTAATCTCACTAAGGTCAAATTTATGCGACATTACTAATACAACTTTGTGATTTCGGAGGTCTTGTAGTATGAAGTTGATGTACAAGCATAATAAAGCAAATGTATCCGGTTAATAACAGAAAATCATTTCTGTTCCTTTCAATTAGCTCTTTAATAAGAGGAATTATGATCGAAAACATGAAAGATTTCAATCTCACATGGAATTTGATTTGGTTTAACGTGACTCTGTATCTGTATCTGTTAGCTGTATCCATCAATTTGATTTAGTTTAACTTGACTCTGTATCTGTATCTGTGAGCTGTATCTATCAATTTGATTTAGTTTAACTTGACTCTGTATCTGTATCTGTGAGCTGTATCTATCAATTTGATTTAGTTTAACTTGACTCTGTATCTGTATCTGTGAGCTGTATATATCAATTTGATTTATTTAAGTTGACTCTGTATCTTTATCTGTGAGCTGTATCCATCAATTTGATTTAGTTTAACTTGACTCTGTATCTCTATCTGTGAGCTGTATCTATCAATTTGATTTAGTTTAACTTGACTCTGTATCTGTATCTGTATCTATGAGCTGTCTGCACCAGAGAACTAGGTTCATTAGAAAAAACGAATCCAATCTTTGAATCTGTCACAGTCAATACATCCCTTGATAATGTGGACAGTGCTACAGGGTGTCATCCTCAAAAAGAGGAGGGGGGGGAGGTCAAGAAAGTTCTAAATATTATAAAAGAAAATGCTTAGATAACTTTTTTTGAAAACGTAGATGAAATTTTAATATCTTATGTTTAGTATAATCCTAAAACTGTAAAAATACTAAATCTGGCTGAAATAATTAATAAATATAATATTTTATTACCCTTACGTTCCAATAAACAATAATTTTTACAACAAACAACTTATTTCTTATATTAACTATATCAGTGATAGTATCATGAAAATACTAAAGAACCACCAACTACCCAGGGCAGTCTCACCCCCAGATCGAAGCCACCATTTCTGACCTTAAATTCGTTTTTGGTAAATACTCATTCTAAAAAAGTAATTAATAATAATAATTTTTGCAAAAGAATGAATCTCTAATTTTCTAAATCCTTAATAGTTGAATCCTGATTGTTAAAACATTTAATATTTGAAAATCAGATAATTCAATTTAATATATTGATCGAGTATGTGAAATAGGTTTTCTAATCAACATTTTTTATTAATTGGTTTACCTTGGCCACTCAAACCCGAGGAATCATACAGATCTAAAAGAAGAAAAATTTGACTTGATATTGATATTGACTAAGTTATTAAATTGTTAAATATTTTAAAAATGTTAAATCTTTTAAAAAAGTGTTAAATGATTTCTATTTTATACATTTTATGCATCCTTAAAGTAATATGAATAAACTTATAGCTTGAAAACTTTAAAATGAGAAGGGAGTTATTTTGTCAAAGTTTTGTTCCAAATTATTTTCTAGACCACTGTATTATATATTTGAAATAAATTAGTTTATGAATTTAAACTTACAGTTTTGTTTAAGGGTTCTGAAGATATGAATTGGAGAATATTCTGATTCTCCAAACTGGTTCAAACACTTGATTCTAACCTAGAATAGTAGATGTTTATACCTGGTATACAAGTAGTATAACTGACAGTGCGAATACTAGAATTTTTGACAGGGCGGGGGCAAGTTATCTCGCAAAGCGCGGAAAAAAAAGTTGCCCCCCCCCTGGCCTTAAAATGCTTTTTAAATATTTTATAATAAGTCTACTAAATGTCCCTATGTCACCCACTGTTGTCCCAATTCAAGGACTATATATAATGTATCCCTCTGTATAATTCTGTATTACTCTCTCTAAAGTCCTAAGTAGTCTCCTGAAGACTACTCCTCTTTGTTACCCACTGTAGTCCCAATTCAAGGACTATATATAATATATCCCTCTGTATAGTTCTGTATTACTTTCTCTAAAGTCCTGAGTAGTCTCCTGAAGACTACTCCTCTTTGTTGCCCACTGTAGTCCCAATTCAAGGACTATACATAATGTATCCCTCTGTAAAGTTCATTGTGTGAAGTCTCCTGAAGACTATTATTAGTCCTCCGTTCTCTTTATTCTCCCCCACCCCTTCTCTACTAGTATCCAGGTAGTTAGTGTACCTGGTATCCAGGTGGATAGTATGCCTGGTATCCAGGTAGGTAGTATACCTGGTATTCGGGTATGGAGTATACCTCGTATCCAGGTATTTAGTATACCTGGTATACAAGTAGGTAGTATACTTGGTATACAGGTAGGTAAAGGTAGTATACCTAGTATCCAGGTAGGTAGAGGTAGTATACCTAGTTTCCAGGTAGGTAATATACCTGGTATACAGGTAGGTAATATACCTGTTATACAGGTAGGTAGTATACTTGGTTCCTGGTAGTATATATAACATGGTATTGAGGTAGGTAGTATACCTGGCATCCAGGTAGGTAGTATATAACATGGTATTCAGGTAGGTAGTATACCTGGTATACAGGTAGGTAGTATACCTGGTATACAGGTAGGTAGTATATAACATAGTATTCAGGTAGGTAGTATACTTGGTATCCAGGTAGGTAGTATATAACATGGTATTCAGGTAGGTAGTATAACTGGTATACAGGTAGCTAGCATACTTGGTATCCAGGTAGGTATTGTATAACATGGTATTCAGGTAGGTAGTATACCTGGTATCCAGGTAGGTAGTATACCTGGTATCTAGTATCCGGAGATAGATCTGTAAGAGGAAACGAATACTGAGAATCCCTGAAATATTATCTTGTCAACTGGGAACTCAGGATTCAAGAACTATAGATTCAGGAACTAAGGATTCAGAAACTCAGGATTCGGAAACTCATGATTCAGAAACTCATGATTCAAAAACTCAGGATCCAGAAAGGAGGAAGGAAAACAAAACCATATGATGGGAGCAAATAAAATATAGAGGGAAATAAGGAAAAAAGGAAAGTGAGGGAATACACTGAAATTGAAAATCGTATTGAACAATCGTTTTTAAAAATCGTTTTGATAAATCGTTTTTAAAATTGTTTTGATAAATCGTTTTTAAAATCGTTTTGATAAATCGTTTTTATAAATCGTTTTTATAAATCGTTTTTATAAATCGTTTTTATAAATCGTTTTTATAAATCGTTCTTATAAATCGTTTTGAAAAAAAATATTTTCATCGTCAAATTCTTTTAGAGCACAATTATTGCCAAAAAACGTCCTCAAACCTAAATTACGTTTACAGACCCATGAGAAAGAGGGATAGATATTAGATAATAGAGAAGTAAAAGAGTAAAATGAGTTGATTCTTACAAGGAAATGAAAATCTAATAAAAAGAGAATAAGGTTTGCCTGCGTGTAAGAATATAGAAACATAATTACATTTTGCTGGAAAATTCGTCCAGAATAATAAAATATATAATGGATAATATCAGCAGTTATTAATAATTATAAAAAGTTTGATACGTTTTCTATTCTGTGGAGTAATGACACGATATAGAACTTCAATACAATCCATGTATGCAGTACATTTAAACATCTGTATACATGTTTTTCCTATTTGATTAATGCTATTAGTTTGCTTTTACAATTAAACCAGTGTTTTCAATATCACAGTGATTTTACATTTGTGTTCAATCTTGTTTATTTAAACTAATTATTTTACGGAGATTTTTAGATTTTAGAACGTGTCTGCAAATAACCAAGGGAAAAAATTAACTCTCAGAATATTTTTAACATATTTCACGTGTATGAACTGTACAATTATAAATAGTAGATGCCTAAGATCTGTAAATAATTCTATATTCTAATAATGCAAGGTTACCCAGAAGGCATGAAACTTTAATATCGAACTAAAACTCTTTAGATAGAACGTTATTAACGATCTCAGGGTTAAACTTAGAGTTTGTCTGTTGTGTAGTAAATTAGATAAAAAGCTAAACAATTCTACAAGAAAAGAAATAGACTCAATTAACTGTATACAAGTCTCATCTTTGGTGGGTTACCCTGTATATGAAAATATATTACCTTAGTTGTACCTGTTAAAGTACTGTACATAAATTGTACCTGCCAAAGTATTGTGTACATGAATTGTACACGTTAAAGTACTGTACATAAATTGTACCTGTCAAAGTATTGTGTACATGAATTGTACAAGTTAAAGTATTATACATGAATTATACCTGTTAAAGTACTGTACATAAATTGTACACGTTAAAGTACCATACATGAATTGTACCTGTTAAAGTACTGTACATAAATTGTACCTGCTAAAGTACTACACATAAATTGTACCTGTCAAAGTACTGTGTACATGAATTGTACACGTTAAAGTACTGTACATAAATTGTACACGTTAAAGTACTATACATGAATTGTACCTGCTAAAGTACTACACATAAATTGTACCTGTCAAAGTACTGTGTACATGAATTGTACACGTTAAAGTACTATACATGAATTGTACCTGTTAAAGTACTGTACATAAATTGTTCCTGTTAATGTGCTGTACATAAATTGTACACGTTAAAGTACTGTGTATGAAATTTACCTGTTAAAATAATTTAATATGAATTGTACCTGTTAAAGTACTGTACATGAATTGTAAACGAAAAGTACTGTGCATGAATTGTACACGTAAAATTACTGTACATGAATTGTACCTGTTAAAGTACTGTGCATGAATTGAACCTGTTAAAGCACTCTACATGAATTGTACCTGTTAAAGTACTGTACATGAATTGTACCTGTTAAAGTATTCGTATCTAGCAGGATGTTGGAATCTATAATGTTTCCAGGCAGCGTTATAGAAATCCTATTCAACAATATTTAGCTGTCAAAATAACATGGATCAAATTAATTTGCGAACATACAGAGCTAACCATAAAAGATAAGACTTTTAAGACGACCTAAAACTCTTAAAATATGACGATACCAAGGATACATGAAGTCGTCTGTCTGCCTTAGATATAGTAATGTAATGGCTTATCAAATGATTTGGCTAAATAGGTAACTTTGAATATAAAGGAACAGGCAGTAAATTTCCGTACAGTTGTCTCTGAAGTCTTATTCTTTGTAGGTAACACTGTAGTAATAATATTTTGTTGATCTATGGACAGCTGACGTTTAAATTGTCTTAACGTGTATGCTGAGTAGACAGTTTAAAAAACATGTTAAAAGTATGTTTTTTATCAATGTCTATGCGGTTTTTGAATTTGAATGCGCAGAATGTTTTTATCCCTCCATCCCTCCAGATGTTTTCTAAAATTATTTTCTCTCTGAAAAAAATACTCGCTGAAAAAATTTCTACTTTTAACATTTTTTAAAATTCATTCTCAAAAATCGGGTTAGAGAAGCTTCTCCATTGTCCCATCCCGATATTTTCAGGGGTGCCCCCCACCCCCTTCTGCAAGCTTACTCTGACCCTACCGCTTTCCTAGCTTCTATATGAGAATCAGTGACCGGAGCAAAACTTGAAACCGTCCAGCTCAGGTTAAACTGTGTAGAGGAAACTGAACCTTCTCCGCTCAATATCCGCACATCAGAGGGTCGACCTACAAATATATATTACAATGGGACCCATCTTCTTCAACGCAATTTCAGGAATATATATGTAATGTACAAAGAGTTTTATCTACAGGATCCCACTAAACCAGGACAGTTGAGAGGCGACTTGAAGATTGTCTTTAGGCTTTCAAAATAACAGGAGATATTAAGATATAAAAATATTTGGTCTAGATTTGATTTTATTAAAAAAAAAAAAAAAAAATTGCATAAATCTAAATCTGCATAACTCCAGCAATTTAAAAAGCACAAAAAATGCAGACACTATTATGTATTTTGAATATTGTAAAACTGTAAAATGCCGAAAATTATTTCAATTATCAAAGACGATCTTCAAGTGTTTTGGGACACTCTGTACCTGAGAGTTGAATAGATGCCTCTGCTCTACCCTGATTGTTCTGAGCTATACAAGTATAATTTCCCAAATCTTGAGTTCCAACCTAAAAATATAAAATCAGCATTTCTATGTCACAGCTCATATACGAAATAAATATTTTAAGTTCTCTTTTCTATCTCTTACATCTAATTGTTAATAAAAACAAAACTATAAATATTATCGTTTAAACATAAGAGATAATTTTAAAAGCACGTAAGCGTAAATTTAAATGACCCTTCACATGCAAAGATGGCAATGTCCGATTTACAACGGTACCCTTGAAATCTTTGTCTAAACCAATATGAATTGGATATCAAAATTTACAATTTTGAAAACTGATTATTTCTTTTAGTGGTTTCTCTACAAACGTGACATGGACAGCAGGAAAAAATATATTCATCCATGTTTTTGTATATTTATATTTAAACTGTTTATTTTCATTTGACGTTTCTCTGAAAAAGCATTTCTTGCGTATAAGACACATGCAGAGGACTTTTCGACTCAGAAAAACTACGTGATCCTCTTTCTTTCAGATTAAGGTTTCAAGGGTACCGTTTTACATGGAGGCTCACTCGAAATTACGCTTACAGTCCCTTTAAATATAAAAAATAGTAATTTCATTTAAACTTCCTGGTTGAATAACAACATGTGTGTTTTTTAAATTTTTATTTTTGTCTTTTTTAGTTATTGGTGAAACGCAATATTTTACCAAAAACTCTTATTTGTTTGTCACAAACTCTTATTTTCTAATACCTATATCATTGAAACCTGATGGTGAAACAGTGTGATATTTCAAACTTAGACTATTTGATCTTACAGAATTCATTGTTTGAAATATCTAAGGTCTACAACATTGGGTTGCAAAGCTATAGTGATTTGAAAATCAGAGTTAGTGGCAAAGACTCAATTTCTTTATCAAGGATTGAGATATATAGAAATTTTTAATTAAAATATAAAAAGAAAAATATGTCTTCGGATAGTATTTGTTCAGAGAAAGGTTTAGGATGTTAGTTATGTTAAATATAAATTTTAAATAAAATATTCCATATCATAGTATGAGTCTAACAGTCGTTTAAAGCTAAAGAAGTACTCACAAAGGGCTACCCAGGGGCTACCAATTTGGCTTTCAAAGAGCTTCACAGAGAAAGAGTTAATACACACCTCGTTTATGAGTATACTGAAATGAGTAGAGTTTGAAGTTGTTGAATAAAGTCCATCCAATAGCATACCAGATCTGTACCAGGTCACCTTCATACAATGATCAGTTAGAATTTTTTTTGAAGGGGGGTTTCGACATTCACGACGTGCCTCCAATATGTAAAATTTCGTGCAAATTGTGTAATTTATTTCTTAGAAATTTGCTTTCATTAGATTATGCGAAAAGAACAGAAGAGGCATTTAGCAATATCAAAGATAAGTAGCGGAAAAGTTTACCAATGTGTAATAACGGTTTGATTTTATTTCCGTAAATGCCAATATCTTCTGGCAGAGTCAACATTTTGAATAATGTAACTCAAATATGAACATGTAAATTTTATTCCAATGCGATATTTGAAGATTAAAATTTTTTAAACATATATCCCTAAGAATAGTCATGTGATGACCACTAAACTACCTGAGGAACAGGTGTCCCTAAGACTAGGCATGTGATGACCGCTAAACTACCTGAGGAACAGGTTTCCCTAAGACTATACATGTGATGATCACTAAACTGCCTGAGGAACAGATATCCCTAAGAATAGTCATGTGATGACCACTAAACTACCTGAGGAACAGATATCCCTAAGAATAGTCATGTGATGTCCATTAAACTACCTGAAGAACAGGTTTTGTTAAGACTAGAATGTGATGACCACTAAACTACCTGAGGAACAGGTATCCCTAAGACTAGACTTGAAATTACCACTAAACTACATGAGAAACAGGTATCCCTGATACTAGACATAATATGACCACTAAACTATCTACCTGTTATCCCTGAGGCTAGATATGATATGACCGCTACTCTACCTAAGGAACAGGTATCCCTGAGGCTAGATATGATATGACCGCTAAGCTACCTAGGGAACAGGTATCCCAGATACTAGACATGATATGACCACTAAAATATCTAGGGAACAGGTATCCCTGAGATTAGACATGATATGATCACTACTCTACCTAGGGAACAGGTATCCCAGATACTAGACATGATATGATCACTAAGCTACCTAGGGAACAGGTATCCCAGAGATTAGACATGATATGATCACTAAACTATCTAGGGAACAGGTATCCCAGATACTAGACATAATATGATCACTAAGCTACCTAGGAAACAGGTTTCCCTGATACTAGACATGATCTGATCACTGAGCTACCCAGGGAACAGGTATCCCTGATACTAGACATGATATGATCACTAAGCTACCTAGGGAACAGGTATCCCTGATACTAGACATGATATGATCACTAAACTATCTAGGGAACAGGTATCCCAGATACTAGACATGATATGATCACTAAGCTACCTAGGGAACAGGTATCCCAGAGACTAGACATGATATGACCACTAAACTACCTGAGGAATAGGTATCCCTGATACTAGACATGAGATGACCGCTGCCCGAGCTGAGCCTAGGGATCCAGCTGACCCCTTTACTACCACAGGTTCAGGAACAGATACAACAGGAGGATCTAGATTATATATCATACCACTATCAATATCATTTTATAAACTTTAATTAAATTATTTTTTATTGTTTACTAAATTTTTCTACTTAAAGGTCGATGGGACTGTATTCGTAATTTCAAGTGACATTGGAAAGTGGTATGTCCGAATCACAATGACAGCGGTACCATTTAACCCTGTATCTGGTCAATGATCAGTTATCCTGTTTATTTGAATGAAAAAAATTCCAATTGTGGTTTAATTCTCAAAAGTGTCAACGTTATTTTCCTCATTGATACTCAGATTAAGGTTTAAAGATCGAGTGCCCTTGTAAGTCGGACTTGCCATTTTTTGAATTTGAAATTCGAATTTTTTTAAATCTAAATTCGAAATTTTAAATGTAAATTGTCTTTGTTGGCAAAAAAAAGGTTTTCACTCTCGCACTATAGATAAACTTGGGTTTGGAAATTAATTTCGATATATTTCTATATCCTCATCAGTCCTTAAAGAATGGTGGTATTAATAAAACTTAAATTTTGTTAATTTAAATTTTAAATTTTTACTTAAAATTTTAAATTTCCAGACTTAACTTTAAATTTTTTTGACTTTAAATTTTCAATGTTAAAATCACGCCTCTAGTTCCTGTAAAGTGTGTGCGTAAAAATTACTATTTGTAGGATACGTTTCATTAAATATGTTTTAGGAAATGTCGGGTTACAAGAATTAAAAACTTACATTGGACTTGAAGTTGAATCCTGTCTTGGCCTGGTTCTCCTGAATAAATAATAAAAAAAAAATCATAAGAAAAAACATCTGTTGTAAAAGCTGATATTGAAAATGATTGGACAGATACGTTTGTTGATTCTCAACAATTTTTGTGACTATTCAACATTTTTCAAAACTTTAATTTCAACGTTTTTCTTTTTATCATTTAATTTTATTTTGGATAATTTCCATCTTAGAGGTGAAAAGACGATGTTTAAAGGAACGTTTTGAAACGTTAATATCCAAAATCACTTCAGGCCACTTAGAATTGGGTTAGCAAATCATTTGAAACATTTTTAAAGCCTTTTTTTGTCAAAATCATTGATGCATAATATTTAAAGAATTCTGGTTTATTTCCATAATCTGAATAATCTGAATAATCTGAAGTATGAAAATGAAACAAAAACAAACCAAGAATTGAATTATAAAGCACTTGTTATAAATATCAATGCTTGACCGGGAAATTTAAATATCTGAAAACTTTGTCCATCCAGTTTTTAAAACTGTGCCCCCCCCCCCCCCCTTTAATTTGTCCTCTTTCTCCCTCCCTCCTTCTGACTTCCCCCCTTTTTGTCCTTAGCCTACCAGCTCCTCACTTTACCTCCTTCATCTTCCCCCTACTTCCCCCATCCCCCTTTGATATTTACCACCTTAAAATTTTCCCTCTAACTTCCCCCATTTTATTGTTTCCCACCGGCCCATAATCTCCCGACCCTTGTTTTTCTTCCCTACCTCCCAGGATCCTTTACCTCCTTCATCTGTTCTCCTTCCCCCCTTTTTTACCCTGTCTCCCCTTTTGTCCTCCCCGCCCCCTCTCTCTCTACCTGCTCCGTTGTCTGCTATACAGATGTAGGTTCCTCCGTCCCGTCTAGAAACCCCTCTTATACTGATTCAAACCATAATCCTCAAATTCAAACCAAAAACAACTCTTGTTTGAAATCAAAATTAATGTAATTTGGACACAACACAATTATGTAATTTGCTATTTGTAATTTGAAAGAAACACAAAAGAAATAGAAAATTCAACTTTTTCACAATATAATTGTTCATTGGCACAATTAAAATGGTTAACCAGGTTTCCCCAGAACTAAAAGTTTATCCAGTAATTCCTTATGAACTAAACTTGTATCCAGGTTCCCTTTGAACTAAAAGTGTATCCAGGTTTTCCCTGAGCTAAAAGTGTATTCAGGCTTCCTCTGAACTAAAAGAGTATCTAGATTTCCCTTGACCTAAAAGTGTATTCAGTTGTTTCCCCTGAGCAAAAAGTGTATTCAGGCTCCATCTAAACTAAAAGTGTATCGAGGCTCCCTCTGAACTAAAAGTGTATCCAGTTGTTTCCCCTGAGCTTAAAGCTTAAAGTGTATCCAGGCTCCATCTGAACTAGAAGTTTGTCCAGGCTGCCCCCTTGTTTGTTGAAGGATAATGTTTGCCTGAGATGAGCTCCTGTGATGACTGAACTAGGGGATAATGGTCCCTCCTGAAACAAGGGTTTAATGGGTTCACTCTCAATGTATGAACAAATACTTGAGAGTCATCTCTCTGCTCAGAGGAATAGTATAGTCCGGAGTAATTTCTCTGTTTTTTGTTGCAGTAAAATCCAGCAAGGCAACAAGCGTAATTTTTTACCTTATTTTTACCTTATTCTTCTAGCATATTTCCTTCCTTCATTATAAAACAATAACAAACAAAATGTTTACATATTTCCTGCTTTATTAGTGGTTTTAAATCTATATAATAAAACAAGACATTCGTATCTATGTATGTTGCGAATAGCCGGTCAAACGGCTGGACCGATTGGGCTGAAATTTTTTGTTGACACTCATTTGTGTTATAGGCTAAACAAATTCTAAATTAAAAAAAAAAATTATTACTTTTTCATTCAATTTTTTTCCACGGGCAACGTCGGGCCCTTCAGCTAGTATGTAATAAAATCAAAATATTTTAAAGCAAAGTTCATGACTTCGATTCTACATTTTATGTCTTTACATATATAGTTTCCTCTAGATATTAGTGCTGCTGGTATTTCTGTATACTGAGATGAATTTAAGTTTTCTGATTTGAACTGAATTCAAGATTAGACAATGCAATTAGTAACTCAATCCTACAGAATATTAATAAAGAATTCAGATTTTAGAATTAAAGAATTTAGAATTTAGAGGGATTGAAAACGCAATTTTAAGTAACCCGCCACCTTTACAACTAGGCTTGTATAGGGCGCTTCACGGATGTTAGTAATTCCTTGGGGTCATGTGACAAAATTTAGGCCCGATCGGCCTAGTCGTTTTGCCGTTAATTAAGGATACAAACAAATGGATAGACAAGAAAAGTTTTATAGATATATGTCAGATTCATAACTAAGACATTTCTAAGAATGAAATTTTCCCGAATTGGTATCGCTGAAAGATATAATTTCTTAAGCTATACTTTCCCAAATGTGCTTGCCGCAGCGCTAGGCCCCCTGTCATCTTCTAGTCGAAGCGCATTGCCTATCACATGTTCCTTACCCAAATTATCATAAACTGTAACAACTCTTCCAAAGTAAAAATATACTTTTAGAAAAATACCGTGAATGGGAATTTAATTAATGTAGGTTCACATTTTAGAAAAGGATAATGACCTAAATCATCTGAAATGTGTACTTTTGGAAAAATACCGTAAATGGGAATTTAATTAATGTAGATTCACATTTTAGAAAAGGATAAAGACCTACATAATCTGAAATAATTTACCCCTGTGTTGGTAAAATAAAATGTTCAGACCAATATAAAGACATGAAGATGTAATAATGAAACTCTATCCCAACCCTTCTCTCATTTCTTAAATACATTTATCCACGATCCACACTTTTTACACAAATATTTTCACACCTTTAACAATCAGCCCTCAAACTGAAAACAGGATGAAAACACTGTTTTTTCAAAAGGGAAGAAAACTTTGTTCAAAATTTTAAAATTCAATTAAATCTGATTTTGACATTCTTATTGAATCATAGATAGATAAATAGATAGATAGAGATGTAGATAAATAGATAGTTAGGAAGGATGATTGAATACATCTTTAATTTTAAAAATATCTCTGTAACACAGCACAGAGAGTTAATCATGTCACTATGGTAGTAAAGGTAGTTTTGATTTACATCCGTTTTTAAATGTTTTTTCTTACACTTTAGTATCTATATAAATACTTAATACGGGGTCTAATAATGTCTAAAAAATATGTAAATAAATTGAAATCTGAGGCTGGCATGAATTACATTGAAATTTGAAATACCAGCAATGCAAAAGTGGTTATTCCAAATTTTAAACATTTATAACAATTTTCTAAGACCATGATAATAGTATTTTTATTCGACTTCAGAGACGACTGTAGGAAAATTATTCAGTGATTTTTCCTAAATGTGTGGTTCCCTGCTTAATGTTTGCCAAAATCGTACAGTAGTATAGCATTGAAAACTTCCACGTTTAAATTAGATTTTAATATCTTAAGAGTGCAGTTAAATCGTCATTGAAGTTTGATTCTTTGTAGGTAATTCTACAGATATTTTGAATATCCAAAATTATAAAAATTAAATCAAAATTAAAATTGAGACTCCATGCCATCAACTACTGCTTTTTTAAAAACCGAAGTATTTATAATAAAAGTTAGATGAGCAGGGCCTGTCTGACTTTCTTGTCCCACTTACTTCTCTAATACATTTTAATTTAGCCAAAATTCAATTTATTAAGAAGTTTAAAGCTAATAAAGACAAAAACATAAGAAAATACACTATAAAAGTCGAAGTCTTCAATATTAGTATAAATAAATCATATCTAACAGATAAATAAATCTATAATTACATGTTTATTTCACGCTCGATCTTGAAAAAGACTAGAAATAATTTGTTGCATTAATTAATTTTTTAACCAATGTTTTCAACAACAAAAATGACTTCAATGTATTTATACAAATACAAAAGAATTCTGTACAATAAAAAAATGAAAAAATGTTAAATTCAGAATGGAATCCCTTTGTACTCTATGTTGTATGATTATGTTGCATAATAAAACTTTTCAAAACTTTTTCCATTTTCATCTTGAAATTTAAAATGTTATGAGTAAATGTCAATAATGGTCAGTCCAGTCCATTTATATACTGAAAATATCCTAATATATTTTATATATACATATTTATTTATATATTTATTAATTCATATTTTTCTATAACATTTTAAAATAAGTGTTAAAAAACGCGAACCTGAATATCAAGATATTGTGTGTGTCTACTTGAATAAATAAATAAATATACAGGGCGACCCATTTAACATAACAAAAGAGAGACTACTTTTTATCTACCCAGTGAACCAAGAGCCTGTAATTCAAAGCAGGGTATCATTAAGGAACCCGATATAGGAAACTGAGGTTCAGAACTGGATTGTTACAGTTTTTTAAAAAAATATTTTCGTTATTTTGTATGGATGATACATATTTATATTTATGAACAATCTTACCACTAAAGTACCGGGCCGACCTATGGGCAACTAGAGCAACTTACACAGTATACATACTATCATATATATATATTTATATACCCTGTGATACCAATTTACCAATTGACTAGTATCTATATCTATATATACTTTAAGGTGTATACGGATGACCAATTTTTTAAAATAGCTTTTCCCATTACAATTTGCACCGTGAGCGCTAATTTAAATGTTTAGCTTAATATCTCTAAAACTACTTTCTTTAGCAGTTTTTAACACTTTGGACGCGATTATCTTAAAGATTTAAGAGCTGTCGACCTAAAATTTTACAGGAATTACTCATGTATGTTGTGCAATAAAAAAGTTTTTTAAAATTATTAATAATTTGAGGCCCCACTTATATATATATCTATATGAACAATTGTATAGAATTATACATACCCTGTGAATCCAGGAAACTCTAGGTCTAGGTTCTCCTTGAGTAACACAAGCCATCTCCACATCATCTCCCTCTTCGGCCTAATTTTTTTTAGTTTTCAAATTTCAAAAAAAAAATTTTTTTTCCAATATGTAACTAATACTGTTTTGATTTATGATTTTAAAAGGAAAAATAGGAGATCAAAAACCTAAATAAAGATTTGGATAAAATTGCATGAAAATTGCATTCACATATTCCACCTGGATTAATGATTCCACTGCTCGTACCATTGGTGGAATCAGAACAGTCACCTAAATAAATTTTATATTTGTTTCTAAATTGTGTAATTGTAGTTTTACAGAGGGTTTTGAATAGTCCAATGAACACTAAACACAGCACTTTAAAAGAATATCGAGTTCACTTAATAAATCGATTTCCAGGGTTCAAATATAAGATTTCCAGGGTTCAAATATAAGATTTCCAGGGTTCAAATATAAAAATAAGATTTCCAGGGTTCAAATATAAAAATAAGATTTCCAGGGTTCAAATATAAAAATAAGATTTCCAGGGTTCAAATATAAGATTTCCAGGGTTCAAATATAAAAATAAGATTAATGAAATGTCATCTTCCACAGTTTTATTGGTCTTACTCTAGATTACCATTGTATGGTTCAACTTTACATTGCAACGATTCGATTGAGTTTCTGAAACGTGTTCTTTAAAAAAATGCAAATATTTTTGTTATCTTTCCGTTTTTGTCCAGACACTAGACAAAATGCTTGAACTTACAGGATGGACTAAGTGGAGTAGTGTTTTAATGCTAATAATGACATTTTCCCCTCTGTCGCACATCGCAACAAGAGACATATTTAAGAATAAGAAACCTAAGCAAGAAACAAAAAATAATAAGGAGACAATGTTTCGTCTAGAGTCGTCGGTAAGAATTCCTAACAGTTATAACTTTGACTTTACAATTCAATAGTTGTCACATTTGGATATCAAGATCAAGCATTGTAGATTAAAGCTATTTCTCTGACCAGTGATCAGTGACATCTATGGTTTCTAAGGGGTTTTAAGGCCCCCCCCGGCCCCCGGACAATTTTCTTTCTCTTTATTCCGGTAATGACTGGATTAAATAACTGACTTACCAGATAATGTTGCTGCAAAGGTTCATAATCAGGTTTCCATTCAACTTGACAAGTGTAGTTTCCTAAACATAATCAGGTTTTCATTCAACTTGACAAGTGTAGTTTCCTAAACATAATCAGGTTTCCATTCAACTTGACAAGTGTAGTTTTCTAAACATAATCAGGTTTCCATTCAACTTGACAAGTGTAGTTTCCTAAACATAATCAGGTTTCCATCAGGTTTCCATTGCAATGTCAAAGCAATGTGGTAAAAAGTTTAATTAGTCCCCGGATTTTCTCAAAAAATAGTCTATTTCAAAAATAACGACGTATTATATTTTTTGGCGCTTAAATTCTCTGTATCTCAAAGGTTCAGGGTGACCCACGAAAAATCACATTAGCAAGAGGACTTGAAGGTCGTCTTTGATCTTTGAAATAAATTCCGACATTTATTCGTCAAACTAATTTTGGAAGTAGAATTCTAGAATTAATAATCACAAAATTATTACCAGTGATATGAAGAATTTTCTTAAGATTTCGACAATTTTGGTTTAATTTAATAAAATTAAAATCTAAACGAAAATTTTAATATCTTCGGAAATATAAGATGATAACGATATAATGATATTTTTGAAATGCTTTGACACGACAATTCTGTGGTTTCAAGAAGCATACATTTTAAAAAGCGTCGACGATTGAATGAATGTTACCAATAAAATTTAAAATCAAAGACGACTTGCAAGTCGTCTTCATCCTTTCATGTTTCGTGGTACTTTACCTTTGAGATAAAGAGAGAAATGCTTTCCAAATCTTAAAGAGCATTGCAAACCAAAAATGTTATAAATAGTTATAGAAAATATGCACACCTAGCTTATAAAGGCACACATCCAACTTTCGATCTAAAGAGACACACGTGTCATACCTGCATACTCTTTATCAATACTGGATACTTGAAGAATATGCGATTCTATTTTATCTTGTCCTATCAGGAGAATATCAGTTTTCCAATTCATCCTCTCATCCTTCCTCACCCTACAGGTTACAGGGGTTAATAATAACAATTAAAGGGACAGTAGGCGTAATTTCAAGTAAACATACGTTTAAATATAGATATCCCCGATTTACAAAGATACCCTTTGAATCTTAATCTGATTAATAATGTTAAAGAAATCGTCGGGTTTTGTTTGGTTTGCAAAGGGGAAAATTTCAAAAAGGACATTGTTTCTGTAATCAGAAGTGCGCAAGTCAATTATTAAAAAAAGAATTGAAAATATTTATATTTCAAACAGAGAAGAGAAACAAGAAATACACAGGGTTGAATGCACCGTTGTGAATATAACTTGCAATTCTATAAATGGAGAATTACTTGAAATTATGTTTTCAGTCCATTTAAAGAAACTGTTAAAGTTCATGTCATCTCAATCTTTCAAACGACCTTTAAAAATCTTCTTTTTCAAATCAGCATAATTCTTTTACAAATATTCAACAATGTTTTTCCTTTGGTCAATAGAAATCTGAACAGTGTACACTTTTTATGTATGTTGTGTATACTATTCAGGGAAACTAAGTTTGAATTGAGATTTTTTCTTAAACATTTTTATATTTAAGAAAATTAATTTTCACAAAATCAGTTGGATTACAATATATGAAACAAATTTATTAAAATAGAGATCATAAAAAAATATTGGTGCCTAAAATTATTTCTACTTGGGCTAATTTGGGAAAGGAGTCCCGCAAAAACATATATTTTTTATTGACTATTTCGTTTCTAAATTTAACAGTTTTAAAAAAAAAAAATTACAATAGTTTTCATGAATTGTGCATTTTTTGATTTACCTGATTTTTCCAACTGAGAGAACATTATTTCTATGTTTCCAAACCACTGTGCTGTCACCTGCAATATACACATCTTGTATCCACTGTGAAATAAAGGTCATACGCTCTCAAGCAAAAATATATGAGAATTTTCCTAACTATTAAATAAAAACCAAAGCTAACATCAAGTGTTTTCTAGTGCTATAATGTACATGTTAAGGGCTAGTCCACTGTGCTGACTTTTGAGGTAAACATAAAAAAGATATCAATACAATGTAAAGAAAACACTTGAAATACAAAACTATTTTTCTGAAAAAGTTACATTTGTTTTTACCATTTTTGTTTTCTGACCTATTATCCAAATATATGAACAATCCCTTTATATAAAAAGTATTATGTTAATGTTGCGAATGATACTGCAGGCGGCAGCTGACGGGAAAGGAATATTTCATTTATTTTAATATTTAAGACAATTCAACAATTCAACAATTCAACATCTCAGTTTTTAGTCAGGCTTTACTTTCACCCTTTTAGAACAGATATATGCATATTCTGCCTGCACAGTCTAACACTGTCTGTATGTCTGATATTCTGATTTTCAATTGGAAGACACAAAGTCTGTGAACGAATTAAAAAAAGATTGTATCTATATTGAATACACTCCCACGCAAAAATGTTAATAATTACTCATTTTATAACTGAAGCTAGAAACTGTAGTTCTAAATTGTGTAATGAATAAGGGCCTTAAAAACCAAAGCCCCAGGCGCGGCTGTATAAATCTCAAAACTTTAAACTTTCGTTCTGCTTTTCCCCAAAATGTTTTTTTTTTATCTAATATTAGCATTAAAATCAGAAATCAGATTTTGAAATATTTAATGTTTACGAGTAGAATATCAGGACATCAAGTTTAAAAGTGAAAGGAAAGAAATTTTGGTTCAGTGGCAATAAATCAGTTGTCGTAATTTTAGAAAGATGGGGCATGCATCATTCACAACGGTACCCTTGAGATCTGATTTATTATGTGGAAGATACAGTCGTTTTTCTGAATTGAAAAGTTTTCAATTCTGATAATTTCTCCGTTGTTTTTGAAGCAAGATGTGTAAAATAAACCAAATGAAAATTAACAGTTTTCAAAAACAAAAACATGGAAATGTAATTCAAACAGAACTCGGAAGGGTACTGTTGAAAATCAGACATGCCACTGTATAAATGTAGGGTCACTTTATTAAATGTACTAAATGGTTCCTAACCTTGATGTTTAACATTACAGGTGAGCGTAAGCAGATCTCCCTTCAAGAAAACATTTTTATAAATATAAAAACATTATAAAAAAAAGATGTATTTTTTTGTTGAAAATTTGACATTAATTGTCCCTTGGTAAAAGACATCAGACATTTCAATATTTTTAATTTATTTTAATGAATTTAAATTTTAAAAGTACACAAATTGCAGATCATATTTTGGAAATCCCAATTGACCGATTGACTTTTTAATTCAAATTTTTACAAATCATAATATTAAGCGACTAGTAAATGATACGTACATGTTTGTAATGCAGAAAATCAATTTTTTAATATCATTTTTTTTCTGGCTATCATGTATTCATTTCATTTAGCTGTGTTGTATTAGATAAACCCACCCCCCCCCCGCAACCCGACTTCATGTTTTAAACATTGAATAATGATAATAATAATTTTATATTAATGTTCCCTTGAGTTGAGTAAAGTTGAGTTGAGTTGAGACAATCTCAGGTCCCCCTCCCCCTCCTCCTCCTCCTACATCTGCTGGTTCACCTGAGGTTGGAACTTATAAATAGCGAGTAGTAGTTAAACTAGTTCTCTAAAGTGACTTAAAGCAAACTAGAGAAGTATGTGATATAGCCTATTTTATCTAACTCGTTGTTTACTGATTCTGATTTATCAACGAGAAAAGTTAGTTTAAATAGTTGGGACTATTTTCAACTTGTTACGCTTTTGCATTTGATGTTTTAAAAAACTTTCCCAACGTTGCGTTAAAGCTTAAGTAATATAACCACAATTTTTTAACGTTCCACTTTCATGCAAGGTAAATATTTTCAGTGACCTTACGTTACACTTTCACTTGGTTTAAGATCTAAAAGATGACAGTTTTGCTTTAATAAAACGTCATTGGGGCATAGTTCTGTACGTTACAATGCATTTCAGTGCAAAGAATATTTTTTGTTAACGTTACGTTTTATCTAAACTTTTCCAATATAAACTCTTTTAATTACGTTTAGAAATTCTACTAAAATGCACCTTTTCTTACGTTACGATTTATCGAAACGTTATTGTGAAAACTTGTTTGTTACACTTTTTTACAACTGACAATCAAAACTGTTTATTTGTTTCGTTTCTAAGAAAGATTTGAAAAAAATGTTCTATACGTTGAGTTGTATTAAAATGTTCAAGTCTTAATGTTTCTAACGTTACACTTTTGAAATTTGTAAATGAAAGTTTTTAGCATTAGACTTTCAACTCAAAGTGTGTCTTTAAGGGACTAGAGACGTAATTTCAAGTGACCTTCCATTTATGGAGTGGCATGTCCATTGTCCAGTAGGGGTGATCAATATTGGAATAGAGCCAACCGCCCACCGGAAGTCGCTGCGTTTTCACAGTAAGGCCACAAAAAAAAATTTTATTTTCATTTTATACATCATGTTCTTGGAAATTCAATGCTAAATTCAAATCTGAAAAGCATTTTAAAAAATTAAAAATTGAGAGAGTCAGAGCTAAAAAACTCATCATAAACATTAAAAAGTTTAAAAAACGGAATTTAGTATCGTTATTCTTTAGATTTTAATATATTTAAAAATGGTTTTCGAATCTGAATTCAGCATGACATTTCCAAGAAAATGATGTATCATATTTATTTTTTGCAAGATACAAGACAGGAAAACACTCCTAATTTTCAAATTATCAATCAGATAAAGGTATACACGTTATCATTGGGAATCGAGCATGGCCCTCTTTAAATGGAGGATCACTTGAAATTATCATCGTGTATTTGACGAGCTTAAAACATAGACATGTTTTTGGACACTTCATAAAATGAGTTAAAAGGCAAACCACTTTTGCATGTGGAGCAGTAGTTCTAAATTATTTTAGATTAGTTTAGGGTTAATTTTTTCTTTTTTTTACGCAATGCAGACTGACCCTTTTCTTCTATCTAACAGAATTCATAGTTTAAAATATCTAAGGTCATTGGGTAGCAAACATTGGGTAGCAAAGATATAGGGATTAGAAATATAAGTTTGTGAACAACTTGCAATTTCTTTAGACATTCTTATCTAACAGAAGTCATAGCTTGAAATGTCAAAAGTCTACAACACCAGCTTGCAAGGATTATAATTTGTGGCGAATTTTTAGTTCTTTTTGTGTTTTTTATGTTACTTACAAAGTGAGTTAAAAATGCGGCATTAGTTTTAGTTTTTAAACCACAATGAAAATGTTTTCAAAGTTCATGTTTGGGGTTAAAAATATCAAATATAGTAAGACAAGAGCTAATTTTTTTTAACACAAACAACGCGACATAAAATTATTTAACATTTTTTCTTTTTAAAAAAACAATTAAAAAATCATTTTTTTCTATTCTAAAGTTTCATAAAAATCTATTGACGAATAAAACATAACACGCATTTTCCATTTGATAAAATATTGTTGCATTTTAGTAAGTATCTACATTTCTAAATTTTTCAACCTAAAACATGAACCATGCCAACTGAAGTTATGATTTCAAGTAGTCAAATAAACATGAAACACAGCAATTGTGTTCATGCACCCGTTCCACTTAATAAGTTGATTTTTTTTGCAATTAGTAAATCATTTGCTTTATAACAGAAAATGCATATGTAAAATTTCTTAATGTCGTCTTCCTTTTCCAGAGGGTTTCATCAAACAATGGCAAATGAAAACCTTTAATGTCCAAGAAACATTTATAAGATTTGAATTTTCACTAATAGCATGTTACAAAAAACTCGTTTACACTTTAGAAAGGAACTAAGTTTTTTTTTCAAATTTACTAATCCCTATATCTTTCCAACCAGATGGTTTAAACCTTGTATATTTCAATATTAATGGTCTACGAAATCGGGTTGCAAAGATATATTAAATGAATATTAGAGTTTATGGCATAAACTCACTTTCTTTAAACTTGAAATGAAAAACCATAAGTCTTTGCTCTTATAATCATCAGTCGAATCTCTTACATTGATATATTTGAGACGTTTTGAAATGTTTTGATTGACAGAATTATTGTTACGCTTTTTAAACTAAAACTCAGCCCTCATAGTCTAACGTTTTATGAACTACATTTTCATCAGACATATATCTAACGTTAGACTAATCAATTTAGTATTCAGAGAAACGTTATGAAACGCTTTGATTTACAGAATTACATTTTTTTAAATGTTATACGTTACATTATTGAAATTTTACTCTGTAAAAAAACTTTCGTTTCCTCATTATTAAAATAATAACCCATTTCTGTAACGTTGAATTTTTCATTATACTATAAGGGAAAACGTTTCAAAACGTTTTCATAAACAGTATTGCATTTTTCAGTTATACAACGTTACACTTTTTATAAGTTGAACTTTGAAATAGAAATTCTTTCGTTACGATATTCAATCAAATCACAATTCACTTTTCAAACGTTAGACTTTCAAGATCCCTTTGGAAACAAAACATTTCTTTACGTTATGGTCAAAAAAGTTGTAGATATTAGAAAAATAACGTTACATTTCCCCAAAACGCTAACGTTTGGGGTATGTTCCTCTAACGTTAACGTTAGGTATGAACTCCTATAACGTTAACGTTTAACGTTCACGTTATATAGAATATATCCAAACGTTACACATTATTGTAACATAACGTACAAAAACGTACATTTTACGTTATGTTACACTATCGTTGACAACTCTACTAGACAGAAGGAGAAGGTCCAACTTATCTGACATTACTGGTCCAACTTTGTGACCAGGTTGCTCCTCTAGTTTTGATTTTATGCAAAAGTTTGTCCAGTTAATATTATTACACATTGCAAACATTTTGGTTCTCCTCAAAAACTCTTCAAAAAGAGGAGTTTTGATTGTATTTCAATTTTACGTGTAATTCACTTTAGTTTAACGTGAACTGCGTATTGATATTTACAATTTCCAACTACTGCACTGCATACGTTCAAATGACGAATTTATTTGAGAAATTGAATGTTTTCAAAACTTTTAAAAACAAGTAAATATATTTGATAAATGATCTAATTTCTCTCCAATAACTCTAATTTTCTAACCCCTGTAGTAAATACCGTACTCTTAAAAGTTCGTCCTCCAAGGCCCAAACTGTACCAAGCACAACTTACCTGGCTTTAAATGCCACACAGGGACACAAGTGTAGCTTATTAATCTAGCTCTTACTCAGGCTCTAAATGCCACAAAGCGAAAGAAGCATAGCTTATCAAAATAGCTATTACTCAGGCTCTAAATATATGCCACAAAGCGAAAGAAGCATAGCTTATTAATATAGCTATTACTCAGGCTCTAAATGCCACAAAGCGAAAGAAGCATAGCTTATCAATAAAGCTATTACTCAGGCTCTAAATGCCACAAAGCGAAAGAAGCATAGCTTATTAATATAGCTATTACTCAGGCTCTAAATGCCACACAGGGACACAAGTGTTGCTATAAAACAAGATATTACTCCGACTCTAAATGCCAAACAGGACACAAGCATAGCTATCAACAAGCTATTACTTTGGCTCTAAATACCACACAGGGGTACAAGCGTAGCTATCAACAAGCTATACATTGATCCCAAAACAGGGTTTCAGTCTAGCCATCAACAAGCTATTACTTCGGCTCTAAATGCCACACAAGCATAGATATCAACAAGCTATTACTTTGGCTCTAAATGCCACACAGGGGCACAAGCGTGGTTATCAACAAGCTTTTGGCTATTTACAAGCCCTTAATCAATCTTTACACTAAACGAGGTATGATCTCACATGAATACTCAACGGGATACAATTACTCTCCACTGTAATCAAAGCGGAGTTCTGATTCTTACTGATCCTATTTACAAATCTATATGTTATATGTTAAGTTCCAATATGTATTCACAATATTAAGCAGGTATATAATATAATAACAATACATATCTAGTCTAGTCACACTACAAGGTTTAAGTAGTTAGATCCTCAGGCAATGTACAACGCATTTTATGTATGTATGTTTAAACAGAATTTATTACATCCCTACATCTTTTCATCCTTGGATAATTAAATCCTTAATTATTTCAGATACAGTGAGAACTAGAAAAAATGGAATCGGAAGACGACATGATAGGAATACCATGTATTTGTTGTTGTTACTATCTCAGAGTTTTCTGATTATCACTGTAGCAAAATTTGTATATTTAAATACTTTGGTTTACATCATCAGGTTGCACAAATATAATTAGTTTTTCTAGTTGTCTAGTTTCTTTATTTATATTACCTCCATGATTCAAATTCTCATAGGTGAACCCTCCAACTATACTTTGGAAACTAAATAGAATATAATTTATGTTTTATTGGTTGGTTGGTGGTTTTGTTGGTTAGTGTGTATATTAGCTGATTAGTTGGATAGTTGACTAGTTAGATGGTTGATTGTTTGGATGGTTGATTGTTTGGATAGTTGACTGGTTAGGTGGTTGATTGTTTGAATGGTTGATTGGTTAGATGGTTGATTGGTTGGATGATTGATTGGTTGGATGTTTGATTGGTTGGATGGTTAATTGGTAAGATGATTGATTGATTGAATGAATGATTGGTTGGATGATTGATTGGTTGGATGGTTGATTGGTTGGATGATTGATTGGTTGGATGATTGATTGGTTGGATGATTGATTGGTTGCATGATTGATTGCTTGGATGGTTGATTAGTTAAAGGATTTGATGATTTGATGATTTGTTGGTTGGATGGTTGATTGGTTGATTGGTTGGATGGTTGATTGGTTGGATGGTTGGATGGTTGATTGTTTGAATGGTTGATTGATTGGATGGTTGATTGGTTGGATGACTGATTGGTTGGATGATTAATTGGTTGGATGATTGATTGGTTGCATGATTGATTGGTTGAATGGTTGATTAGTTGAAGGATTGATTGATTTGATGATTTGTTGGTTGGATGGTTGATTGGTTGGATGGTTGATTGGTTGGATGGTTGATTGGTTGGATGGTTGATTGGGTGGATGGTTGATTTGTTGAATGATTGAATGGTTGGATGGTTGATTGGTTGGATGATAAGTTCGGTACGGTTTTTAATAAGTTGGCTGGTTTATTGATTGGTTGGTTAGTCTGTAGGTTGGTTAGTTTTTTTGTCATAAATTATCATTTAATAGATATGTTTTTGGGAGGAAACCTATTTGTACCCAAAGGGTTTAAAAATCGATTTATTTTTTTTAAATTAGAATTTTTTTATTTAAACGAGCAACGCCGGGCACTTTAACTAATATTTAATATTTCTTTGAAACATATCTATATTTGTTATTAAATAAAAGTTTAAGCAAAGAATTATATTGGTGAATATTAACCTGTTTGAATATTGGTGAATATCTGTTTGAATATTGTTGAATATTAACCTGTTTGAATATTGTTGAATATTAACCTGTTTACATATTGGTGAATATTAACCTGTTTAGATATTGTTGAATATTAACCTGTTTAAATATTGTTGAATATTAACATGTTTAGATAATACCATAATATTATCTTTCTTGTGTTTACATTTCTCTTTACTAATCTGTTTATTTATTCCTATACTTATACAACCATCTATCTATCAATCTATAGAATATATAAATACATATACAGGTATAAGATCGGGAACAGGAAGTTAGATGTCTCTATCTGGTTGGATGTACCTAAACATTATGGAAAAAAGTGTCCCCTTTAGTGGAACTGTTTAATTAAAAATATAAATTTATATCTTGCTTGGGTGTCTGTTTGTTTGTCTGTCCGTTTGTATCCAATAAACGCCAAAACTGCTAATCAGTTTTGCTTACTTTTCCTTTAAAAGGAGATGCCATACATGTTTTCTCTTCTTCTGATATTGAGATATAGTTGCCTTGTAGTTTATATATTATTATTCATCAATTATATTTGTCTAAAGCAAAATTACATTAAACAATATAAAAGTTTACAAACTAATACTCTTTTCTCTGGATATCGCATTTTATAATTGACAGGGTTTGCCAAAAATAGGTGCATTACAAGACTTTTAGCATAAGTATAGCTTGTAAATTATATTTTTAACAATGTTTACTTAGATAGATTTATTCGTACATCACAATTATAGACATTAAAAGAATGTTACATTAATAGACCCCACAGTGTAGCATCCTATATTCTCCAGGAATCTATTCCACGAACTGTTCTGCTCTGTAGCATCCTATATTCTCCAGGAATATATATCTCCAACTGTTCTGCTCTGTAGCATCCTATATTCTCCAGGAATTTATTCCAAAAACTGTTCTGCTCTGTAGCATCCTATGTTCTCCAGGAATCTATTTCTCGAACTGTTCTGCTCTGTAGCATCCTATATTCTCCAGGAATCTATTCCACCAACTGTTCTGCTCTGTAGCATCCTATATTCTCCAGGAATCTATTCCACCAACTGTTCTGCTCTGTAGCATCCTATGTTCTCCAGGAGTCTATTTCTCGAACTGTTCTGCTCTGTAGCATCTTATATTTTCTAGGAAATTATTCCTCGAACTGTTCTAGCATCCTATATTCCATAGGAATCTATTTCACGAACTACTCGTCTCTGCAGCATCCTATACTTTCCAAAACACATTTCACGAACTGCTCTGCTCTGTAGAATCCACACTTTTTTGGAATCCATTCCACGAACTGTTCTGCTTTGCAGCATCATTAATTTTCTGGAATCCATTCCACGAACTGCTCTGCTCTGTTGCATCCTCACTTTTCTGGAATCATGCCAAGAGCTGGTCTTCTCAGCAGCATCATATTACTTTTCTGGAATCCATTTCACGAACTTCTTTTCTCTGCAGCATTATTACTTTTCTGGAATCAATTCCACGAACTTCTCTCCTAGAATCCTTACTTTTCTGGAAGCAATTCCACAAAAGGCTCTGCTCTGTTGCCTCCTTACTTTAAAAAGAAGAACTACATTAGGAACATCAAAAGAGGAACAAAAGAACGATCAAATGTGAACTGTAACAGGAACATTGACTATTGAAGAAACTTGGTATAGGAAAAAAAAACTAGGAGTTTCATGCATGCACTAAGAGCATAAGAACAATAAATCAAGGATTTAGGGCCTAAGGACACACTGTTAGGAATAGGAACAAAAATAGGAACATAAACCAAAGTACAAGTTAGGAACAAAATTAAAAGAACTAGGAATTAGGAACAAAAATTAAAGAACTAGAAGCGTTTTTCGTAAAAGATGAAATGATGATCAACATATAAAGGTACAAAAAAGTAAACATAAATATGCGAGAAAAAAATGTTCATAAATTAGGAACAATAGTCAAAAATAGGAACATAAAGCAAGTTAAGAACAAAAAGAAATTTATGCATTTATGCACGTAAATTTCGAGTGATTTCTGAAATAAGATATTTGGGAATTTTTATTTCTATCCTGTTTTGTGAAAGGATTGGGTTAAAATCAAGCTTTTTTTGTATTTTGAGAAACTTATTCTTTTCCCTTCTTTTATTAGATTAATGATGCTAATGAATCATCGTACAACAAAAATAACAGGGAGACAAATTGATATGCAATATAAAATATGGTCAGGTTTAGGAGAAGCTGTTTTTGGTTATCCTCAAGTTTGCAGGAATTTTTTTTTCGAATTTTAGTTTTGGGAAAACTGAAGATTTGAGCTTTGTTGATCTTTACAATTTACATCCTTACTTTCCCTGTATTAAAATTAGTATTGGCTATTCGTGATTAAAAAATTTTCAGTTATACATTTACTTATAGATTAATCCAAACTATAGATCTTACACCTCCAGTTTTCAGTTATACATTTACTTATAGATTAATCCAAATTATAGATTTTACACGTCCAGTTATACATTTACTTATAGATTAATCCAAATTATAGATTTTACACCTCCAGTTTTTGTTTTGATGCAAATAGCTCCTCAAAAACATAATGCAAAACAGGCAAAATATCTATCTTTATGAACTATAATGTGTGATAAGTTAAAAATCTAGTTTTTTAGTCTTTAGTCATTAATTTTAACCCTTTTTGAATACTTCAGGTTAAAAAATTTCGTCTGCGGGGATCCTCCTTTTTGTTCCTGCTTCCACATTTTTTTGGACTTAAAAAATCTAGCATCCCCCTGGCTTAAATTCCGTATCCGCCCCTGCCTAAAAGGATTCATGAATTGTAAATCATTAGAAATAACATATATACAGGGTTTTTTGAGAGGGTAAATCAAAAATGACTGTCCTTTTACTTGAAGTGGAAAACGAGAAAATAGTTATAAGTTCTTTAATGAATGCATAATGCGTTATAGCGCCAAAGAAAAATTGTTGTATTTTTTTCTTAATTGGAAAAATTTGATAGAAGAGGGACCATAATGATTATGATCAATCATGCAGTCATGCTGGAGTCAAGTAAATATCTGTATATGTATTTATATATAAATATATCTATCTATCCATCTATCTTATCTATCTTATCTATCTAGTTTTCCTCCTCATTTATTTCCATCATTTTTTCTTGGTTTTTTTTTTATGTCCTCCTATTAATAGAGGCAGTCAAAATATTATGTAAAAATATGGCTTCTAGAATCCAACCCAGTTTTCAATTCCTAGTTTCAAGTTTCCAGTGTTCGGATATTAGAAATGCCCCAGAAGAAGGATATTAGGAGGACTGATATGAATCTATAATATATTCTTATGTTGACAGCAACTGCTTTTTTTTGCGCCCCCCTCCCCTCGCCAAAAAAAAACAGTTGCTGTCAATATAAGTATATATTTGCGCTCCCCCCCCCCCCGCCAAAAAAACCAGTTGCTGTCAACATAAGTATTTATTTGCGCTCCCCCCGCCAAAAAAAACAGTTGCTGTCAACATAACTATATATTATAGCTTTATGTTGTCTTCTATATAAATATATGTGGGTGGAATTAGAAATAAATGTTCAACTCAAAGAAGAAAATCCGCAAAACCGAATTCCGAACTTATTCAAAATGGATGAACCCCTTGACCGATTTGCCTCTAATTTCGATTCGAGAACTCGTTAGAGCCCCAGAAATATTATTAGTTCATTTGGCAAAATTGTTCAGATTTTCTTTGGATTATGCGTCATATCCTAAATTTGAAGATTTTTCAGCGTACTTTAGTAACCTTTTTGTCAGAGTTTGCCGTAAAATTATCCTCAGATATTTCATATATTTGTTGTAAAATTATCCTCAGATATTTCATACATTTGTTGTAAAAATAACCCTCAGATATTTCATATCTTTATTGTAAATATATCGTTAGATATTTCATATCTTTATTGTAAAATTATCCTTAGATATTTCATATCTTTATTGTAAAATTATCCTTAGATATTTTATATCATTTTGTAAAATTATCCTTAGATATTTCATATCTTTATTGTAAAATTATCCTTAGATATTTCATATCTTTATTGTAAAATTATCCTCATATATTTCATATCTTTATTGTAAAATTATCCTCAGATATTTCATATCTTTATTGTAAAATTATCCTCATATATTTCATATCTTTATTGTAAAATTATCCTCAGATATTTCATATATTTATTGTAAAATTATCCTTAGATATTTCATATCTTTATTGTAAAATCATCCTTAGATATTTCATATCTTTATTGTAAAATTATTCTTAGATATTTCATATCTTTGTTGTAAAATTATCCTTAGATATTTCATATCTTTCTTGTAAAACTATCCTTAGATATTTCATATCTTTTTTTGTAAAATTATCCTTAGATATTTCATATCTTTATTGTAAAATTATCCTTAGATATTTCATATCTTTTTTGTAAAATTATCCTTAGATATTTCATATCTTTATTGTAAAATCATCCTTAGATATTTCATATCTTTATTTTAAAATCATCCTCAGATATTTCATATCTTTGTTGTAAAATCATCCTCAGATATTTCATATCTTTGTTGTAAAATTATCCTGAGATATTTCATATCTTTATTGTAAAATTATCCTTAGATATTTCATATCTTTTTTGTAAAATTATCCTTAGATATTTCATATCTTTATTGTAAAATCATCCTTAGATATTTCATATCTTTGTTGTAAAAATAAGAAAAACCGTATGAAGAATGTTAACATATTTTATGGAAGAGTTGAATAAAGTTGAAAATGTAAATTTTTAATAGAAACTGGATTTTTAAACTATGTTTACACATTTTTAAAACTACCTGGCTAAAGACGAAAACGCAACCCATATTCGCATCCTAAAACATGGAAATTAAGAAAGATTATTCCGACATCTATTTCCTTGTGACCACAAGTTCCCATCTGCATCTGCAGCTTAATTAAAAAAATATTAAATGAAAATACAGAAAAATCTTCCAACTTGTCGTCTTACTTCTAATTGTCTTTAAAAATATCTTGTTGAAAAATTTGAACATGAATATTGAACAACGAAGATATATTTATATCATTTTCTTCTACTTTTATACTCTTCTTTGCCCACTGCATTGTAATACGTCACTGACTTAGGATGAAATGTCCTGTCTACGAAAGGGTTATAGACTATTCTGTGGAGTAAACCCTTTCTATGTAATGTCCTATCTGTGAAATGTTTAATCTATTAAATTTATAAATTGTCCTTTGAGGTTATTCCAACACAGGTGGGATATCCCCCAGAAATTACCTTCTCCGCTTTTGCTAAGGTTTAGCACACAGCTTAATTTTTAAGGAAAATTGAAAAAAACGAAACTTCCCTTCAATAATCGACAAAAATAATCATTTTTGTTTTGGAATGACCCATAGAGAAATTACGTTATGTAAAATGTCAACATTCATATATAAGGAATTGAGTTTTTTTCAACAAACTCAGATTATCTATTCGCTATATCTGTACAACCTGATGGTATAAACCTTAGATATTTCAAACTTTGATTATTTGATCTCACAGAATTCATAGTTTGAGATATCAAAGGTCTTCAACATTGGCTAACAAAGATATTGCGATTAGATAATTTGAGTTTGAGGCAAAAACTAAAATCCTTTATATTTTATTTGTCAATTGATTTTATTTATGGATTGATTTATGGATTGATTTTTTATTTTTAGAATATATTTTTTGTCTGATTCCTGTTCCTGGAAAGAAGTTGATTGCGGTGAATTGCAGGTGTAATTTCAAATATTAAAGAAAACCAATGATAGTAAAAAAAAGGAGGATGGATAAAAAGGATTAGTCTACAAACCTGGTGTAGTTCAGAAGTTAGAATATTTCTTTTTTAGACTGGAAATGATTTGTGTTTGTGAAATTTAACAAATGCACAAAAATAAAGCTAAAACCCGACACTCTGGTTAAAAAGTGACGGTTGCCGGTTATTAGACAACTCCCTATTGTGCAGTGATCAGTGTATCCTTGTATCCTTTTTCCCCGTATCCTTGTATCCGTGTATTTTTATATCCCTGAATCCTTGTATCCCTATGTCCTTGCATCCCTGTATCCTTCTATCCCTGTATCCTTCTATGCCTGTATCCTTCTATCCCTGTATCCTTGTATCTTTGTATCCCTGTAACCCTGTATCCTTGTATCCCTGTATCCTTGCATCCCTGTATCCTTGTAGCTTGTATACCTCTATCCATGCTATATACATTAAACATACATATATAGTATATACTTACATGGCCGGGTTCCGAAATAAACTAAACTCTAGTTAAAGATATCAACAGATGGTTCCTTCGGGACTCTATCCTCTAGTTATCAATTCATCCATCCTCTACTCATCCATCCTCTACTCTTCCATCTTCTACTCATCCATTATCTACTTATCCATCCTCTACGCATCCATCCTCTACTCATCCATCCTAGACTCATCCACCCTCTACGCATCCATACTCACTCATCCATCCTCTACTCGTCCATCCACTACTCATCTTTTCATCCTCTACTCATCCATCCTCTACTCATCCCTTAATCTTCTACTCATACATCCTCTACTCATCCATCCATACTCTACTCATCCATCCTCTACTCATCCATTCATCCTCTACTCATCCATCCTCTACTCATCCATTCATCCTCTATGCATTCATCCATACTCAACTTTTCCATCCTCTCTCATCCATCCTATACTCATCCATCCATACTCTACTCATCCATTCATCCTCTACGCATCCATCCTATAATCATCCATCCATACTCTACTCATTCATCCTCTACTCATCGATCCTCTACTCATTAATCCTCTACTCATTAATCCTCTACTCATCCATTCATTCATCCATCCTCAACTCATCCATCCTCTACTCATTCATCCTTTGTTATCGTAAATAAAGTAATAATTCTGTTTGGGTGATCTAATTGTCAGTCGATTGTTTGTATGTCCCATCATAACTCAGGAACTCCATGACCGATTTGCCTCAAATTTTGATTGGGGAACTCCGTAGAACCACGAAAATGCCATTTATAGCTTTGTTAAAAAATTATTAATTTAGTTGGTTGACTTTTATACGGAAAGTTAGTTTCCAGTTGATCTGTGTTCCCAAGTTATAGTATCATAATAAAGATACTCAACAACCATAACTTTATGACTTAGTTTGCATTCAAGACTATTTCGATCGCTTTATCCTTGTAAAAACGAAACGAACTTTTTATTTCTACAATCGAAACAAATCTTTATAAAACTTAAAAAATATTTACCAATCATAGTGAAAAATTGAAAATTGAAAAAATTGAATTAAACAGCAAATAAATTACTAGATTGCAATTCATAGATTCAATAGATTGCAATTCATAGGTTAAATAGATTGCAATTTATCGATTTAGTAAATTGCAATTTATAGGTTAAATAGATTGCAATTTATAGATTTGATCGATTCGAATTTTATAGGTTAAATATATTGCATTTTATCGATTTAATAGATTTTAATTCATAGGTTCAGTAGATTGCAATTAATCGGTTTAATAGATTGCAATTCATAGGTGCAATAGATTGCAATTTTATAGGTAAAATAGATTGCAATTTTATGGGTAAAATAGATTGCAATTTATCGATTTAATAGATTGCAATTCATAGGTTCACTAGATTGCAATTAATCAGTTCAATAGATTGCAATTTATTGATTTAATAGATTGCAATACATATGTTCAATAAATTGCAATTTATCTATTTAATACATTGCAATTCATAGGTTCAATAGATTGCAATTTATCGGTTTAATAGATTGCAATTCATCAGTTTAATATATTACAATTCATAGGTTCAATAAATTGCAATTTATCGATTCAAAGATTGCAATTCATAGAATAAATAGATTGCTGTGGATATCTTTATATTGGGACTGGATTACTTCTTGATAAATCTGAAAACTTACGCCCTGAATTATATACTGAACCATTTTCGTCTCATCAAAGAATCAGCGAATTCTGAGACCGAATTTAAACAATTTGAGCCGCGGCTCAAATATGGTTGGTTTCACTTAAACTTGTATTAAATTTTTCAAGATTTAAGCCGGCGCTCAATTGAAATCGGTTTTTTGGGGGATTTGAGACGCGGCTTAAATTCATCAAATTCGGACACTGCAATTCTAAATCTCTCTGAAGCTGAACTGATAGAATTACTTTCCAACCATGGATTACAGTGCGCAGAAGTAGATGTAGATGGAGCCTTTTCTTAGATTGGAGCATGGTTACTAATACAAAACCTTAACTTGAACTTCTCAAAACAGCCAGGTTTGGAAGGATGGATATTCAATTCTTCAGGGGGGGGGGGGNACATAGTTGGGGACAGGATGTACATAGTTGGGGACAGGATGTACATAGTTGGGGACAGGATGTACATAGTTGGGGACAGGATGTACATAGTTGGGGACAGGATGTACATAGTTGGGGACAGGATGTACATAGTTGGGGACAGGATGTACATAGTTGGGGACAGGATTTACATAGTTGGGGACAGGATTTACATAGTTGGGGACAGGATGTACATAGTTGGGGACAGGATGTACATAGTTGGAGGACAGGATGTACATAGTTGGAGGACGGGATATCCAAAAAACCCTCAACTCCTGTGAAGTTTATATCCCCGAAGAGATAAGATGGAAGAGTATACCTAATATGACAAAACCAAGACTGGATCATAGTTTGGAGTTCTTCGATGGAAAACTATTTGCCATTGGTGGATTTGGTAGTACCTTGAGAGGAAAAGGATTGCTTTGAGCGATGAGCATGACGACAGCAATGAGGATGGCGACATCGATGTGGATCATGAAGAAGAAGTTGTGGGATTTTGGGGAACTCTTCTGTTGAAAATTATAGTGTTTATTTGTGAACTTTTTTACCGTTGAATCATAAAAGACCATTTCATCATGAAAAAGCATAGAAACTTTGCTTTTTTAGTAATCGATTGGTAATCGATTTAACGAATCAAATTATGATGTGAATTCCAGTTCCAAAGTTCTTAGTTTGCTTGAAGTAATATATATGTATAGTTATATTTCTGGCAATCCATGTTTAACATTAAGGTCTTTTTTGCCCGCTTTTTATTAAAAACTGAATGAGCTAAAAATTGTTAATTTTTAACGGAATTATAATTATTTTTAATTGAGATTATAATCCTTTTTTCTTTAAACCCGAACTCAGTTCTTTGTAACTATAGCGCTGATGTTTATCATTATGGAATGAGGAATCAGAGGTTTGATTAAGACAGGAAAGAATATTAGTTTTGAATAAGAACGAATGAAAAGTGTTAATTGGAAAACTTCCGGTTTTTATGTTTCTACATTTTCCCGGCCCTGCAAACTTTTCTTATTCAACACATGGAAGGAATCAAAAGTTTTCTTCAATCTCTCTTTATCCGTCCCCTCTTTTTATTTGGGACGATTTTCACACTTTCTAGGAATTAGTATTCCCATCCTAACTTTATAAACATTTTTTCCGCTTTTTCCAAAAATAAACTCAAAATCTTTTCTCTCATTTTCCCAACTATTCAAACATTTTTATATTCCTTCCCAACCTTGTAAAAATGTCTTCCTGTCTTCCCAACTTTGTCTCAATTAAATGTCTTCACAAAATCCCAAAACTCTTCTCTCCTACCCAAATCTGCTAAATATTTCTTAAAATTTTTTTTACATCATCCTTATCTCAATAATACATAATATGTCTTTGTAAATATATATAAATGGGATCTAGGATTCAGAGACAAATCCCATCTTTTATCTTAATAAAACTAAACTTTCCTGGACATTTAACATAGTTTTTAAACTATATAAAACCA